GTTAAAATTTTTCCATATTATTCGTTATTTCTTATTTTATTCAAAGTTTTCGGTCAAATTCCAAATTTTCTCTCAAACCCTACACTTTCTTTTTAGTATAGATAGTATTTATTTACCTCATGATATGCTGCAAAACCTAATTAATCACGAATTTCTAATTTTATGTACTCTTGTCTCCGATTGTACTTCCCAAACATCCTTAAAAGTACTACGACGTTTCGCACAGGCTTAAGCCCAACAACCTGGACGAAATGTGATTTTTTAATTTTTGACCCCAATATTGCTTTGATTTAAACATCTGTCATACAAAACAGGGGAAGAATGACCAATAGAATGAAGAAACTACTTTATTCCTATATTATGATTGTTCTAAAAGGGAGAAAAGGTAATCAGCATTGCTGTTACAAGATTTTCTTTCCAGGGTAGGTCTAACATAAGCCATGGCTTCCAAACTAAGATAAAATATTTCCCTACCTAGAAAAAATTCTAATTAACAGTGATGAAGTTTTTTGGGGCGAAATCTCTTGCGCCCACCCTCACCCTCCTCTTTACTACGCCTTTGGTAATAATATTCAAAACGTTTCCAATTTAATTTACATACCTATGTGAAATTCTAAAAGTGAAAGAAAAAAGCTCAACAAAAGCATTAATTGTGAAAAAATTAACCGTAGGCTTAATTATTAAATAGATCATTATCCTTAATAACGTTCATTGCAATTAGTGTAAACTAATGAAACATGTGTTATTTATTGCCCGTTGAAGACACGCAGTAAAATAAAAGGATTGTTGCGTATTCTTATTTTGCAAGGGCATCTTACATCAATTTCAATTAAATAGAGGCCAGAAGAACAATTCATTCCCTTTCTCTTCTAACTCTCCACAAATCAAACTCAGAGGTATGCACATGTTATATATTTTTTATTTTGTTATATATAAACATTATCACTCGGTTTAAATATAAAAAAAAGATACTCAACTAATGTTCGGATGGGGTTAGTCTTGTAAGGGCTCGTATCAGACAATTTTGTGCTGCATCCGGCTCGAAGGACCAACTATTTTTATTAAATTGCAACTGCATTAAGATAGTTTCGTCAAAACAAATACCTGTATATAATAGCATAATTCCACTGAATTATGGCATTCCTTTTTTGTTAAGAAATGCTATTGTTATAGGTACACTTATGAAATGTTTAATAGAACGTGGCTTCTTAATGTAGATATGTGTTGAAGATGTTAATTAATTTTATTATAATTGTGAAAAGTTTGACATGTATAGGACTGTTTATGTTTAAATTTGAAATATATCCAGTAGATGGGTAGTAAATGTACAATAAATTTTTGAGATTGTAAAACTGCTTCAAAAGTTCTGCTATTAGATAACCATCAATTAAAGTTTAATTAATTTATAACATACGTGGTTTTACCCGCGGCTTCGTTGGTGTTGATGAACTAAATACGTGTTAAAGGTCATCGTCGACCACATAAAACTAATTTTTCTATCCCTCAGGAACAGTCCTTTTTTTCTGGATAAAAAGTACCCTACGTCCTTTTCTGTACTCCTGACAATGTGTCTACAAAATTTCATAATGGGTTTTACCACCGGCTTCACGTTGATGTCCTAAATAAGTGTCGAAGATCACCGTCGACTACATAAAACAAATTTTTCTATCCCTCGGGAACACTATTCGTTTTCTGGATAAAAGGTACCCTATGTCCTTTTCTGTACCCCTAACAATATGCTAACAAAATTTTAGGATAACCTGTTGAGTAGTTAAGGTGTGAAACAGATGCAAACACAAAGTAGTTTAGTTAAGACACATACCTAAAAAATGAAATTTTTATTATTTTATAAACAAAAGAATTATTTCTCTTTTGAATGAAGAAAACAATTGACAAGTTTAATGTTTATTTTAATCGTAACAATTGTTTTCGTTATAATAGAAAGAGTATAAACGAATATTAACAAAAAGTTTTACAGGACTTTGGCTGCGTTCCGTAAGGATTGTAGCATCCACATATAAGAACAGTGCGGCAGGATAACGTAACTTGGTTCGACCACAGTGGAAACTAAGACATTTTTAAATATTTTTACTTCCATTCTTCACCATCGTCTTTCAGTTTCCTTTTTATAATTTTTACTTGATAAGCTTTCTATGTATATTAAACCTACAAGAATAACAAGACTGTAAATGACACAGCACGAGTTTAGTTATTATGCGAAAGGAATTTGCTGAAACAAACGTGAATCGTGTTGTTTTGTTTTTTTATTTCAATGTTTACACTGTTTTAAATTCCTAACAAACTTTGTACTTGTTGAATGTGAATGTCGACTTTGTTTGTAGATATTTAAGTGCAACCGCAGAAGTTCCATTTAATAACCAAAAACATTACTTACATTTTACTTTTACCTAAAATTATGTCACGGAAAATACCCGAAAATTAACGTTTTCGGGATGAGTACCTCCCAAACTGCTTCCATTTTCTGAAAAATTATTGACATTTTTTCTCTAGGTATGAATTTGTCGTTTGAATTATTTTGAATTTATTTTAATGCGCCTCCATGAGGCCATCTGGCGCCGCCACTGGCGTGCAAATACCCATCGTAATGAATTAATGTAACAAGGAAGACTTACTACGTATTTACGTGCGTCTGATAATTTAATGGAGAAATACTTTCGCCATAAAAGAAGAGCGTAATTAGATGAACTTGATGCAACATGATCGTATATATTTTATGCTCTGTTCCTGCTTTCTTTACTATTAACAACCTNCCCTCAGGAACAGTCCTTTTTTTCTGGATAAAAAGTACCCTACGTCCTTTTCTGTACTCCTGACAATGTGTCTACAAAATTTCATAATGGGTTTTACCACCGGCTTCACGTTGATGTCCTAAATAAGTGTCGAAGATCACCGTCGACTACATAAAACAAATTTTTCTATCCCTCGGGAACACTATTCGTTTTCTGGATAAAAGGTACCCTATGTCCTTTTCTGTACCCCTAACAATATGCTAACAAAATTTTAGGATAACCTGTTGAGTAGTTAAGGTGTGAAACAGATGCAAACACAAAGTAGTTTAGTTAAGACACATACCTAAAAAATGAAATTTTTATTATTTTATAAACAAAAGAATTATTTTTCTTTTAATAGAAGAAAACAATTGACAAGTTTAATGTTTATTTTAATCGTAACAATTGTTTTCGTTATAATAGAAAGAGTATAAACGAATATTAACAAAAAGTTTTACAGGACTTTGGCTGCGTTCCGTAAGGATTGTAGCATCCACATATAAGAACAGTGCGCTAGGATAACGTAACTTGGTTCGACCACAGTGGAAACTAAGACATTTTTAAATATTTTTACTTCCATTCTTCACCATCGTCTTTCAGTTTCCTTTTTATAATTTTTACTTGATAAGCTTTCTATGTATATTAAACCTACAAGAATAACAAGACTGTAAATGACACAGCACGAGTTTAGTTATTATGCGAAAGGAATTTGCTGAAACAAACGTGAATCGTGTTGTTTTGTTTTTTTATTTCAATGTTTACACTGTTTTAAATTCCTAACAAACTTTGTACTTGTTGAATGTGAATGTCGACTTTGTTTGTAGATATTTAAGTGCAACCGCAGAAGTTCCATTTAATAACCAAAAACATTACTTACATTTTACTTTTACCTAAAATTATGTCACGGAAAATACCCGAAAATTAACGTTTTCGGGATGAGTACCTCCCAAACTGCTTCCATTTTCTGAAAAATTATTGACATTTTTTCTCTAGGTATGAATTTGTCGTTTGAATTATTTTGAATTTATTTTAATGCGCCTCCATGAGGCCATCTGGCGCCGCCACTGGCGTGCAAATACCCATCGTAATGAATTAATGTAACAAGGAAGACTTACTACGTATTTACGTGCGTCTGATAATTTAATGGAGAAATACTTTCGCCATAAAAGAAGAGCGTAATTAGATGAACTTGATGCAACATGATCGTATATATTTTATGC